AGCATATTAGTGTAAAGACATAAGTAATATGTAAAATTATATGGCTTGTTACTTTTACTGTAACTCAGGGAACATTTTTTTTTTTTTTTAGCCCTGTAGGTTAAAAGAGAAATAAAATGACTATAGTAAAGATGAAAGTGTAAGTTCTAAGGAAAAGATTCTTCTAAAATTTTGATTTTTTTTTTTTTTTTTTTTTTTTCTTATATTCATTGTAAGTATTAACTTTTCTATCTGTCATAGCTTTGAATTCTGTAGTGTTTCTTCATAAAGATTTTATTATAATTGGTAATGTATTTAGGTGCAGAGGTGGTGAAGTATTTTGGCTGATATTTCGTTTCTAGACTAGTAATATACTTCTTCAATTCTACACTTAAAGAAACCAAATATTAACACAAAATAAGCTCTTTATGCTTGTCAGTATATAATATAATAATAGTTGTCTGCTTATATCTGAGTATTCCTGTCTACTAGGACAGCTAGCCAAACCTTTTAACAGATGCCTGCTCAGACACATTTGTGTTTGTTCAACACCTACAGAGTTTATCTGTGGTTTATACTGCAAGTATGTTGCGCGAACCTTAGTTACAGTTTCTGGGAGGTAGCATGTTATCTGGTCTGAACACCAGCCTGAACAAGGCCAGTACACTCAAATGCCCAGCCATAAATAATTCTCTCTACCTAATTTCACTCACAAGGCTTTGGTCAATTTGTGGTATGCTTTTCAGATAAAGGTGCCACATGTTTTGGTCACCTTCCCAGGCCAATAACATCAAGGAATCCCCTTTCTGATAAATTAAGCATGATGAGATTCAAATCTGGGTCTCGTGGTCAAAAAGTGAACCTTGCAACCACTCAATAAAAATGTGTATATGGTTTAGAGTAATTTGGTATATTAACTGTTTCAGTTATTTTATTCCTAATTCCTTCCAACTAACAAAACAATGGATATTTTTCATTAGATATGTATGAACAGCTTAAGTAGATTTAGAATGAGATATTTGCTTTTTTATTTTTATCCTATGAAAGTAGGAATCAATTTAAAGTTTAATGTTGACATGATCATTAAATTTACTGATTATAGCAATATTTTTTTTTTAATCATTTCACTCCAAGCAAGATGATAAAGCCACTAAGATGGATAGTTACTGAAAGAAACCAAGAAAATGTTACCAAGGAAAAATGACAATAAAAAGAACAGGATTCATCAAAAATCTCATAAAATCATGAAAAAATCTTCTATTTGCAAACTGAATAACCTTTATAATCAGATAAGAAGCAGGAATGTTTGATTTAAGAAAGGTATTTTTTTTTTTTTTTTTAATAGCATTAGTTTGACAAGCACATCGTTGTTTATACGCAATACTAAATTTGATCCCATCTTTGTAACTAATTTTGGAATGATTTGTTTCAGGCATTCTTGATCCATTCTTAATCTCTTGTACAAAACTTGAGTTCAACTGATTAGATTTGACAATTCTGATTTTCCTTCAATAATTGATTTACAGTTCAGCTGATTTGGCATTCTGGCCATTCATATATATATATATATATATATATATATATATATATATATATATATATAATCTCAAAGGAAAGCTTAACACATCATGAAAATACAGTAATAAATCATGATTTGTTTTGACCAGTAAGTCTCATCAGACCAAATATATAAATGGTACCATCTGTAGTCTATACATTGAACCCTCTGTGGAGCCATCTTTTTATATTAAAAAGAACCACTTGGATTATCCTTTCCATCTACGGGTTTGAGATATATATATATATATATATATATATATATATATATATATATATAATTACTTTTGAATATCAATTTTATCCCATCTTTGAAGTTTCTTGGAAAGATCGTTTAAAACCACAACCCCCTGAAGACTGGAAATTTTACCAAGAAACTTCGAAGTTGGGATAAAATTGAGTCTTAAAAGTTAAGTGATCTTTTCATATAATATTATTAACACTCTATTTTTTAATATTGAGCACTGTATATAAAAACATCTGCTGTTTGTTATATCTATTTTCATATATATATAATATTTGAAAAATATTTACATTGGTACACAAAAGCTATCTTGTTTCAAAACTGAAAATTGTTTCAATTCATCAGGCGATGTTTGGTAACTTAAGATGCTCATAAGTTATCGAACATCGCCTGATGAATTGAACAATTTCCAGTTCTGCAACATGATAGCATTTGTGTAGTAATGTAAATTTGTCTGTTCTTTCCCTTTATTTAGATATATATATTAATTTGTTTTGTGTTTTTTTTTAGATGGGTGCTCATATTCGGATAAATGCTCCGTTTATTTAATTAAATACTATTTATATTTAATTACATTTACTAGTTCAAGTATTCAAAATATGTAGAGCAGACTGATTTCTCTAGCTGTGGTTGGCATCCAGTCAAGGAAAAAGACAACTCTGAATTCAAAACTGTATATAGTCCTGGCATAGCACATACTATGTTATAAGATGCATAAAAAATGCTTGTGATAAATTGGCAAATAAATGTTGAAACTGTTCTTTGCTAATCTCTAAAACATTTAGAAAATCAAGTTTCTTACAACACGCGTTGCATTGTTAATTTGAAGCATACACTATCTTATGATAGTTTGTACATTATACTTTATCATTGAAACATACACTATCTCATAATTATAATTTAGTATATGTATGACAATATTAGCCATTTCCTTATAAAGAAAAATTCAGCATTATATCCTTTGGTGTAAGAAAACATTGCTCAATGCTAAATAACGGAGCTATTAAGTATATATTGATAAATATACATAATATCCCACACCAACAGTACAACTTAGAGTTTCATGCACTATGCAATCATCAGGTACTAATTTGAATTTACACTGGTTGGTTAATATTTCTGGGTCTCATGAGATGTGTTCTTGTTTGGATGAATTATTACTGTTGTTAAATATTTAATTGCACCATAGTTTAATCTTGAATTAGAATTTAGACTCAAACTTACATTTAAGATTGAAAATAATAATTAGAAATTCTAATTTTATTTTTCTAATTTTTGTTAAAAGCAGTTATCAAAATAAGTTTAAGGATTAGGGGAAATAACTCTTTTTTTTTTTTTTTTTTTTTACTTAAAAACAGTATTAAATTCATAAAAATTAATAAAAATAAAAAGATTTGTACTGATAAATTGATAATAAAGTAGTAGTAATAATAATAATAATAGAGATAATATTGATAATCATAAAATAAGATAGGAATAAAAATAAAAGCAATGGTTATAAAGTAAAAATAGATACTAATTAAAACATCAAAATCAGTATCTGTGGTGTCTGAGACTGAGAAAACTATATTAATTTGGGTCAACTTGCTTGAGTAGAAATTGTGTAAGCAGGGTCTCATTAACTTGCTTCTTTTGAATAACATATTGGGGTTGCTCATAATTTTTAGGATCATTAACTTCTCAGAAAGACATAAGCTACATTTATTGCCTTTCCTAGTAAAGGGTTTAGCTTTCATTATGCAGTCCCAGGTGATAATTGGGTTTAATAGTGCAATTAAATATTTAACAACAGTAATAATTCATTCAAACAACAACACATCTTGCAAGACCCAGAAATATTAACCAAACAGTATAAATTTATTAATATATATATATATATATATATATATATATAAAAAAAAACGTATACTGTCCCAGGCCTAAACAGTGTTCGATGGGAGTAAGAATATTGTGCTGTGTCTGATATTTCTTAAGTGTCAATAATCATTGTATATATTTTTTATTTAACAAACAAAAAATATTTTATTATTACGTATATTTTATAACATTTTTATTATTGTGTTGGCAAAAGAAAACTCTTTTATTTTCAATCTGTTTTTTCTTGAATCACAATTGAATACTTCTCCAGATTCTTTTGTTTTTAATTCTTTTGCATAGAAAGTTTTCTTTTTTTTTTCTTTATCATGCACTGTGGCAAAAAAACACTTAGATGTTTTTTGTGAACAAATCAGAATTCATCTTCCAAATGATAACTGATATGGTAATTAATTGGCAATACCCCATAATTCTTTGCTCAGTATAGGCTTTTTTTTGGTGATATGTTATGTTTCAACATGGCTGAATATGAATGTTTATCTTGCTTTTTAGGGAAGCAGCATTCAAATAAAAGGCAGTAGTAACTTTGCAATTGGTTCTTTTTCAGCTTTTTTTCTAACAAGGGAAATATTTTTAAGTTTCCTTTGGAAAAGAAATAAACATTTAACTTTTTTTTTCTTTTTCTTTTTTTCTTTTTTTTTTTTTTTAGTAAAATTAAATTTTTTGTTAAAATTACTTTATTTATATTTTTAGTAGTATTGAATTATATTTTACCAGAATTAATTTTTTTCCTAGTAGAATTGAATTTTTTTTCTCAGAATTTTTTTTCTTTTTAAGAATAAAAAAAATTTTCTAGTAGAATTTAATTGTTTATTCATTATTTATTACATTATTGCTGTTTATATAACCTTTATATCTTCATAAAGCATGCCTATGCATCTCTATATCTTCAGTTTTGAGAGAAAAAATATCTCAAATAGTGCTTATACCTCTCACAGGATTTCTGACCCAATGCTGTTGAGATTAATGATATTTTGTGTATAATGAATAAGTGTTCTTCTATTTTCTGTTATTATTCTGCAACAATTTTATAACAATTTCTGGCACAATGTTTTTGAAAATGACTCTATTTGTTTGTCTTGAGTCAGAGAATCTTCTAGATCAGAAATGATTGTAATTATTCTCATTTATTAATGGGTCCACGTCTCTCTTCATTTGCTTTCCTATTCCACTTTGGAAGAATTTATTTGCTCTCTAGTTGGATAATGGAACATGTTTACCACATAGTAACTAAGCTTCATATTTGTATCAGAAATGGCATCTGTTAGTAAAATTTGATAATATCATTTCATAAAGTTTGTAAAATGCAACCAGTTGATGACACTTATTTTGTTCTTTTTGACAGGTTTCCAATGCAATTGCACCAGTATTGAATAAATGTTTTCCTGAGACAATGTCCATGTTTGCCTCTACGGAATCATCACAATTTGGTCTACTCAAGGATCTCATTTTGGATGAGATTCCTCTGCGGAAAAGCCACAGATCTCAAAAACTTAAAGCCAGGTAAGTATTAAATTTATTTTTCTCAACTCTCTACAGAATGAATTCTGCAAACCAAAAAGCAATGACCGTAGTGACAGTGAAATCTGAAGAAAGAAACAATGGCATGAATCAAACCATTATGAAAATTCTGAACTGGAAAACAAAAACTTTTTCAATATACTGACACTTGTTGAAATTTTCACAGTATTTGGTATTATTGAAGTTATCGCTAACATTTTTTTGTTGAGATTTACAAATTCTGCATTTCGTTCAATTTCACAAACCAATCAATGAAATTTGAATAAGTTGATTTGCTTGGAAAAATACTTTGACAAAAAACCTACCTCACTTTTTATTTTTATTTTTATTTTAGAACCAACTGTACTTTGTAACCCCGTACCTGTTTGCACTTCTCCCCAAAATTTGGTTTCAGTCAATATATGGCTATTTTCAAGGATGTGACAGACTAACAGAAGTCATAGAATTTAATATATAGATAAATGTATGATTGACGGCTATTAGCAGCAGCAGACACATTTCTTCTCGTTTTTACGCTAAAATTTTTAATACATAATAACTTTCAAATGATGTTAACTAGAAACCTTGAAAACTACAAAACAGAATTTGATTACCGTTACTATTAACATTTATAATCAATGAAAAAATTCACTTTAATGACGGCTTTTGATTAGAATGTTGTTATTCCTGCAGGGAGTTGAACGAAATGTGTTATCAATGAAAAGCTATCCTCAGAAAAACATTCTAGAATATTTTGTTGAATCATGGCTTCCTTTCTGTTATGATCTTATTTGGAAAAAGATGAAGTACAAAGACCAAAAACGAGTCATGCAGTTCATTTACATCCTGGAACCATTGCAATCATGTTATGGTTTTATTATTGTTATATTTTACTTTGATGAAGACATTAGTAGCAGATATGGCACTTGATTTTTAAATTTGAATAAAAACAGCTTCATGACAAACATAATTTCCACTCTTTACAGATTGGTACTTCACAATAGAAACATGTAAATAAGTGGTCATCATGGCAATTTACATTAACTCATAGACCACATTTTATGCCTAAACCATTTCTCACCTGTTTTGTTAGCCAATATCTACTGCTGAAAAGTACATGTCACAAAATCATAGATTTACTTAGTGAATTTTGATTGAACCTCACTTGTTCAGCAATTAATTTAAAAATATACAATACTTTTTTTGTTGTTGTAAATATTCAGTTGAGGAAGCCAAGCCGAAAACCTGGGGATTAAAACTAGGTCAAATGTCTAAAGCTTGCAAAAGTTTTTGAAGTACTTAACATCACTTTGAACTGACTTTTACTTTTAAGGTCACCAAATAAATGTCACTTAATTTTTATATTATATGATTGAACGCACTGGATTGACTTTGAATTGGTTATGAACTGAACTTCCAAGAATAAAGCAAAGACCACAAAAGAAACTTTCTGATTTGGAGTCGATCCAGATTTTCTTTAAAAATCATTCAGTTTCTCTGTTGATCTAGAATATATACAAATGTCAACAGTTTATGGAATGAATTGTTTACAAATAAATTCAAATACTGAAAAGGAAAGAATTCTGTGACAATTTCTATCTACACACCCAGACATACACTTGTTAATGAATAATTATATACATGCAAATATTTCTTCATCTGCCTATACATATATCTGTGTACACAAATAGTGAGAAAAGCACTTTAGTGCATCTACTTTCATGGACTTATGTTGCAAATATATTTATAAATTTGTCTAAGCTTAAACATGCAGTGTCTATATGTCTGTGTTTGCCTGCATATATTTCAGTTTGGGCATGTGTGCACTAAATTGTAATAGAAAGTAATTTTTTTAATATGGATAAAAGATCTTGTCAAAAAATATCTTTGCATCAACCTACAATCTCAAGTAAATATTTTAGTCTTTTTATATAAAATGCATAAAAAAATATAACTTAAGTGTGATTCTAGATTTAATCCAAAATCAAGACATAAATGACATATCAAAGAACATATTAATCTGATTTTTTTCTATATAGTTTAAATATAATGTAGGTAATATATATCCACACACCTTTAAGTAAACATCACAAATAGAAACTTAGAAGGGCAAAGAACTCCATGAAAACTAAAATCTTAATAGTAACTTTTACTGATGAATATAGAGCTACATTGGATGGAATATGGTTAGGTTCCAGATTAGGTCCTTCATGGAAATGGTCAACCAACTTAGACAGCAATAGTAGTGGCAGAGTAATATTTTGGGTTAATGTTGTTGGCAAAAAAAAATTTAGGTCTTTTGAAAGTTGATGACGGTTCAGGATAAATGTAGAGAATTAATCCAAGTTCTTGAACAAAATGTTTTTTGAATGCTACTAGTCATAGTGAAGTAACTTTAAGCTAAAAAAAGTCTCTTCATGCAGGATATGCATATGCTATTTCACATTCTACAATGACCCCCCCCCAACTTCTCCAAAAGAAATCTTGTGATCCATCATTGAAAGAAATTTATATAAAAATGGAAAATAATATTCAAGCACAAAGAGATATCTGGGAAATAATAAAATTATAGCAAATAATATTGAAGCTGAAACAAGAGGAAATTCTTTGATTTGATCTTTGTCTCTAACTCAATGTTAGATGGCATAAGCCTTGTTCTTCCCAATTTCCTTCCATCTCACTGAGCGCAATCTCCAAAAATAATAAAATCAACAAATATTTAAAACTTCAGTATCTGTCTATATTTAAAACTTATTTGCATTATTTGGAATGTTGTCCTCATCTTTATTGCCATATTCATGAAATTTTGGCCATTGCAGGCTCTGGCCTTCTTCAGGTGATTGGAATTTTGAACTGAAGCCTTTATTTCATCTACTGAGGAAGAGTGTTCTAGTTCCACATGTCATGCTTCTTCAAGAAGTTTCAGTTATCTCCCTTTAAATCAACTCTACAAGTTTTATTCACCACTGCAGTAGCCAGGTATTAAACTCAGAACTCTTTGGGTCAAGTCACTGGATCCAACCAACACTTTTGGCCACTAGGTTGTGTGTTCTTAAGGATAATGTAAATAATTACAGTGCATCATCTCAGAAATATAGACAGATATTCAAAACTTATTTGTTCATAAACTCAATTTTCCCATTTTTTTTGGTAAAGAAAATCTATCTCTTTGTTGTAGAAAGTATCATCACCTTCACTCCCCCCCCATATGTCTTTATTCATAGATTTCAGAAAGCAGCTAATTTCACTGATATTTCTTTTTTTGCTCTTTTCTCATTCATTAAACCATAACCTATCAACATGGGTTCCATGTTCACTGTACATATGTCTAGAACTGGCATGGGAGTGGTATCTGGAAGTAGGGGCCTTCTCATTTTACACTAATGTCACTTGTTCACAATTTATCTTAAAAAATGTAGGAATGGAAATATTTTTTTTAAATTATCATGAGTGCCAGAGGGTTAATAAAAATTATCAATAATTAATTTTTTAATATACAAAATTATCCTGACAAGGCATACATTACATACATGAACTCTTTTTCATTGAGATATATATATATATATATATATATATATATATATATAATAAAAAATGAAATGTATCTTACCATCATGTTGAATTCTGATCCATATTTGATCTGCACTTGATCTTTAATTCATATATATATATATATATATAGTCATCCACAGACTGTATCACATCTCATCAGTATGGCTAGACATGTGATTGCTTTAAGCCAATTTGACATCAGTCAGAGACTTTTTGTGGGTGAATATGTAAAAAAAAAAAATTCCAAATTTAAAAGTTCAAAATTTCAGCATTTGAACATTTTCAAAGTTTCTTGTCTATACACCATTATAACCAACATTTTACACTCCTTTTTATATATATATATATATATATATATATATATATATATATAGAGAGAGAGAGAGAGTTTTAAGGTATGCTATAATTATGGGTGTACAGTGGGTTGAATCATATTTCTTTTTCTGTTGGCTTTTTTTGTAATGTGTATATGAGTGTTGTTTACAATCCTTTATCTTTTAGTGGATTTTACATGGCACAAAAAACAAGAAAAATATCATCATATAGTTCAACTCACTATACAACAAAAAATATTCAACAAAAGCACAGTAAAAATCAGCTATAGTTTCACCAAGAACATGACACAGATAATAAAAACGTACAAGAGGAAAACACCCAACAAACCACTCACATAAATCAAACCCACGTATAACTACAGAGCAAAAAATGAATGTCCCTTAAACAGCAGTTGCTTACTGAACAATGTAATATACCAAGTCACTGTAAAACTAGAAGATAACAAAGAAAAATTATACATAGGAGTAACACTGGAAACAAAGAAACTATGCACACAAAACTTCCTTTACAAATAGTAAATACGCAAATAACGCAATGCTTTCTAAATATATCTGGAGAAATTTTTTAAAAATTAGACCAAAAATATCATGGAAAATAAAGAAAACAGCATCAGCCAACAACAATAAATCCTAAAAATGTAAGCTCTGCTTGTCAGAGAAACTAGGTATAATTAGACCAATACAATTTACTAAATAAATAATTAGACCAATACAATTTACTAAATAAATAATTAGACCAATACAATTTACTAAATAAATGATCACAACTACTGAAAATGCAGGTACAAAAACAAATTTTTACTATGTTGTGTGTGTGTGTGTGTGTGTGTGTGGACACTGAAGTCAACAGCCTAATATATATATTGGTTATTGTATATACACTAAATTAATTCATGACTGGATCATTAGGATACCATGCTAAGTCTTTCTTGGCAGGTTGAATTGTTGGTTACTTGATGCTAGTCTCGTTTTCAAGTAAGAAATTGTACTGAGTTACACACTACACATCCAAATTTAAAAATCCTTTGTATGCAGATTCATTATTTCCAGCTGTTTCCACCTACTTGTCGTGCTGTCTCTTATGTATCCATTCCTTTTTTCATCTCCACACCCCCA